CCATCACCTTCAGAATGGTCTCTTCCCCGCCTTCCAACACACTCACGACAGTCCGTTCCGTCCTCCATCCGCCAGCGCCCCAAAACACATAGGTCGGTCCATATGGGATGCTCCCTCTAGCTTCAGTGAGGAACCTTCCTGACCCCCCAGCGATCTCGACTCTTGCCCCGCCGCCCCTGCTCGGTCACAACCTATCTCACCCGCACTCGCTGTCCCAGGCTCCAACGCCCCCGCGGAGACCGCCCCAGGTCCTGCCGCCGCGGTGGAACCGCCAGACCCAACCGCTGCCATGTTGGCATCTGCCTGGTCCGTCCCCTCGGCAACAGCAGGCCACTTCCGTGTCCCTCACTTCCGCTTCCGGGCCTCTTGGGTGGAGCTGGGACAAGCGAGGGGCTGGCCCGAGCCGGGGCTTTCCTCGTCCGCTCCCGAACAGTGAATCTAAGACCGCGGCCTTGGGATTTCCAAGATTTAGTCGGGAACAGGCGGCTGGCTCTGTCTCTTGATGGCTCTACAGAGCCTCATTGGCTTATTCCCGTTACCAGACCCGCCCTCATCTTCATTGATCCTGCTTTCCAGATCACCCGCCCATCCTATGTCCTCGTCTCATTGGTTCAGCTGACCCTCTTCTATCTCGGCTCTTTATTGGCACCTTCTACAAGAGGATACCGCCCTTTCCGCATCAAAACTCCTGGGTCCTTTCTGGTTGGACTGAAGTTCCCCTTTCCCCCACCTCCAGCGAGGTCCCGCCTCCTGGAGAGCCCACGGGCATCTGGGAGGAAAATGAGACTGAGGGGGCGGGGCGGGTGTGCGTCAAGTTTCATCAAGCAGATCAAAGCAGAGCGGTAGAGGCCACACAAGTGACAGGGCATAGGAGAATTGAGACTGGAGGATAAATGAGCCCCTATGAGGGTGCGAAGGAGACCCGTAAGCCAGCAGGTGAGGCGGTGTTCAGGTTGGCTTTTGAAAGAGGGGGAGGGGGCGCACCTGGGTGGCTCAGTCAGTTAAACCAAGCGTCCCACTTCGGCTCAGGTCATGATCTATTTCATGGCTCCTGAGTTCGGGCCCCGCGTCAGCTGGGGAGCCTAGAGCCTGCTTCAGATTGTGTCTCCCTCTCTCTCTCAAAAAAGAAAAAAAAAAAAAAAAAAAAAGAGGGGCAAGAGAGGGTTCAGCTGAGGTCAGGACAAGTGAAACCAAGACAGAACAGGGCAGGTATGTCAAAAAGTGAGGACTGAGGGGCGCCTGGGTGCCTCAGTCAGTTAAGCGTTGGGCTTTGGCTCAGGTCACGATCTCCAGGTTCGTGAATTTGTGCCCCACAACTGGCTCTGTGTTGACAGCCTGGAGCCTGCTTCAGATTCTGTGTCTCCCTCTCTCTGAACCCTACCCGTTTGCACACTTTGTCTCTCTCAAAAATAAACAATTTAAAAAAATTTTAAAAATAGAAGAGAGGGATGAACAAGTTAAGACTGCAAGGGAGACCTGAGAATGTAGGGGCAAAACATGTGACTTACACCCTGAATGTTACAAGGAAAGGCTGGGAAGGTTTTTGTCTGTGCCCAACCCTGGCCCCTCCCTCATCAGTGCCCTGAAAGGCATTTTCTCTTGTGGGAGGATTTTATCTCCTCCCCTGGGGGTGAGGAAAGCAGTTTTCTCTGCCTGAGCAAGCCCATTTTTGATTCGGGAAGTGTCCCAAACATCTTCAGTGTCTATGGTATCTCTAATGGAGCCCTTCTGCACATCCTGGGAGCTATATAAGAGCTGAAGAGGGGGAAATCAAGTTTTTCTTTGTGGTCCTGCTTAAATGAACCCTAAAGGAGCTTTAGGATGGTACCACAAGGCTAAGAATCCCCAAGAGCTGAGGAGAGCTCCAGCCCACCTCCCTCTTGGCTCAGCATACAGATGCTCCATAATTGCCTCACTGTATCTACAAATGGCCAGTCGCTTCTGATTCTATAACATTTATTAAGTAGTGGGTTTCCTTGCTGCATCTACAGTGGCCAGTCGCTTCTGATTCTATAACATTTATTAAATAGTGGGTTTCCACACATGGCTTTTTAAATAATCCAGGCAGGGGGAGAAGGAAGAGGAGGACACAGTTGGAGTTCCCCTCCCACCAATACATAAGTATTTACATTTCAGCAACTGGACAATCCTGGCTCAGAAGGAGGCAGCAAGAATCCGAAAAAGATGGAGGGGGGGGGCCCCAGGAGAACAAACAAGACTTATTTCCCCCACCCCATCCCCCAAAAAACCATCCACCCCATCCTAGCGGACTCTGGTGGTGTCCATCTTCCATTCCTTCCCCAAATCATGGAAGAAGGGTTCTCCTCACCAGAATAAGAGCACTTGGGATAACAGAGTAGGGTCCCCTCACCAAAAAAAAAAAAAATAATAATAATAATAATAAAATAAAATAATAATAAAAAAAAATTTAAAAAGTCCTGGAATAACAATAGGGCATTACCTCCCCCAGAATTAACAACCCTGGGCTGAGGTAGGCAAGCAGCTTGACTGAATATAGACCCTGGGCTAGGGGAAAGGGTCCTTTTGCTAAAATAAGAGCTGCTGGGGCATTGGAAGGAAAGCACCCTTGCCCAAGTGAGAGCATTTAAACTAAGTGTGTGCGGTGGTAGCAGGAGGTGCCAGTGTAGGGGTTACAACTTATCAGAATAAGAGTCCTGGGGCTCAGAATGGAAGTAACTTCAAACCAAATAAACATCCTTAGCAAAATGAGAAATATGGAAGTCCCCCTCTCCAGAATAAGAGACCGTAAGTTCTGGGAGGAAGGCTCCTTAGCAGGATTGGGATGGGGACTGGGCAGACTTGGCTTATGTCTCCTGATCCCTGATCCCCAATCTCTGACCCTAGTAACACTGGATTTTTACTGACCTGTATAACCAGGTCAACAGATGTCCATCTATCCCTGTGGCATGCCATGGGACGGGTATTTAAACTAGTGGGGGCCTGGCCAGGACTAGGGCAGCAGGGACCAGGCCAAAGGGGTGGGACCCCCCGTGGGGGCATTGAGGGATGCATCCTCAGCTGGTGTCTGCATCCAGGGGTCCAGCAGTATCTCCTCCAGTGAGGGTCGGGCAGAGGGTTTGGGGGCCAGGCACCGGCGGATTAGGGCACAGCAGTCTGCAGATCAGAAGTACACAGAAGATTAGCAGTCAGTTGGGGGCACTAGTCCCTGGGAAGGATGCAGTCCACTGGGATGGGACCAGTGAAGGCCTCACCTGGGGAGACATGGGCAGGGAAGTGGAGCTCAGCCTCCAGAATCTCCTGGTCCCTCTCAAAGGGAATGTCCCCACACACCATGTCATAGAGGAGGATGCCCAGTGACCAGACAGTGGCTGGGAGCGCGTGGTACTGGTGACGAGAGATCCACTCTGGGGGGCTGTACACCCTTGTTCCTGCACACAAGCCAGAGATTAGACCACTCTCTGATAATGCCCTTCCCCCACCTCACCCTCCCCAGGAAGTGTGGTCCCCTCACCAGAATTAAGAGAACTCAGTACACGAGCAGGGTTCCCTCACCAGAATAGGACCTCTTTAAAAATAACAGCAGAGTCTCATCATTAGAAAAAGGTAATAGAGTGCCCTCAACAGAACAAAAGCACTTAAAAGTAACAGGAGGATCCCTTTACCAGATAGAAAAGGAATATTCAGGATAACACAATCCCCTTACCAGAATAAGAACCCTGAACAAGGTCTAGGCATTGTCAGAAGATGGACTTTATCAGAGGACAAGGCTTGAGCATTGCCAGTATTAAAGATCAAGAACCTTACAAAGGTGCAATACAGATCAAGGATTACAGGACATCCCAGCACTAGGGGCCAATGATCAAGAGACCACAAGGATAAAAGGTAAAAAAATCCCCCCACTGAGATTTAGGGAAGACTTACCATCAAAATCAGTATAGGGTTCATCATGAAGTAGGGCACCGGAACCAAAATCAATGAGTTTGGCACAGCCCCGGCGAAGGTCCATCAAGATGTTCTCATCCTTGATGTCACGATGGACAACTCCACGAGCATGGCAATGCCGAACAGCTGCCACTACCTGGGCAAAGAGGCAGCGGCTTCGGCCTTCACCTAATGGGCCCTGCTCTGTGATGTAGTCAAAGAGATCCTGGGCAGGCAAAGGTCGCTCGAGGACCAGCATGAAGCCTTCTGGTGTTTCAAACCAGTCAAGCAGGCGGATCACACCAGGGTGCCCACCACCTGCACCCACCTTCCATAGCAGTGCCACTTCCAGTGGGCATGTGACTGAGTCTGACTGTGAGGGGAAGAGGAGAAAAGAGAGAACACAGACGTCAGGGCAGCAGCTGTGAGACGGACTTCTTGCCTGAACTTAATTCATAGCCCTTCAGCCTCCTGACTTTGTGGTCTTCAGCAACCCACTTCCCTCCCTGAGCCTCAGTTCCCTAGCCTTAAGGGCCACTGCAAAGGTGGTTTGAGCCAAAATCCTATGAACATCTGGCTCAGTAACTATCTGAATAAATGAAAGTGGTTCTTAAAAAAAAAAAAAGCCTTCTGCAGAAGGAGCAACTGATGAACACTACTATGTAATAGGGTATCTTTTGTTCACTGGCATCTCAGAAAAGATTACAACAGTACCTTACATACAGTAGATGCTCAATAAATAGCTGTTAAATAGCTGAAAGTACTCTATAGCATAGAGTCTAACACAGAGTTAGCACTCAATAAATACTATTATTGTGTAATAGTTGTAATGTTTTGTTCACTGACATAGTTCAAACACTAGAACAGGGTCTGGTAACAGGGCAGGGCTTAATACATGTTTGTTAAACAGGTAAAAGCAATTAGTAGAAAGGACCTAGCACAAAATTAGCTCTCAATAAATGTAATATTTTGCCAAATGCCTAAAACTGTGCCTGGCACATAGTAGGTGCTCAATATACATTTGTTAAATAGCTGAAGCTGATTAAGTACAAAGGAACAAAGTAAGAACTCAACATCATGTGATGTTTTGTCACTGACACCAAACATCTATAGAACTGTGTTGCAAGTACTCAGTGGGACTTGGAACACAGTAAGCTTTGATGATGAAGCAAAACCTGAGACATACAGTCAGTGCTCAATAAAAGGCATAAATGCTAGGCCATAAAAGCCACCCCACGCTAGAAGCCCAACGCGGGCACAAGGGCTGCCAGAAGCAGCCTCCCAGCCTGAGGTGGGGCCCTCTCCCGGCCAGTCCACTGACTTGCACAGCCGCAGACAGGTTTTCTCACGGTGGCGAAAATTCCGCCACTGCGCAGGCGCACCTTCTCCCTCCGGGTCCCACAACCTGCGCGGGCGCACTCTCCCCTAGAGTTCGCCAGGGGGCGCTCGCACTCCTACAACTAGCCCAGACCCGCCCAGTTGTCCGTTAGCGTTCTAACGGCCGGAGTGAAGCAGCCACTGTCACCATGGCAACCAGTGACCTCTGCCCCTCTTTCCCCACCAGCATGCCCCGCGGGCAGCCCCCGAGGCAATGTTCGGAGGGAGAAGGAGAAAGGCGGTTTGGAGGGGAGAATCCAAGGCCATGGGGGTAGCTGGGGTGAGAACTGTTTGGAGGTGTGGATGTCACCACAGGGGAGTAAACACGGGCTGGTGTTCTCCTCACCATTACAGGGCCCAGGAAATCATACAAGCCCTAGAAAGGCAAGGGGGTGAGTCCCTCGCCAGGGCCCATCGTCAGAGATGGCGTCGCCAGGTCAGGCAGGACTCCAAAGATACTCACCAAGGGGGACCAGCCCAACACACGATTCCGGGGGATCACTTTGATGGCCACCTGGAGAAGGGGGCTGAGGTGAGGGGACCAGCAGACGACCCCCAGGCCCCTCCTAGTCTTGGCCCTCACCCCAGTCTTTCTGGTCCCAACCTCGCCACGCCACAACCCAAAATGAGCTGGAGCTTCTCCCCTGCTCTCCAAGTCCCCAGAACCAAGTTCACCTCTCCCATCATCCTTAGCCCTGGGTTCTCCCTCCTCAGGCTTCAGGCCCCTCGCTCCAGCTCCTCAGCTCTGAATTTCCTAATACCCCAAGCCCTCGATCTTTCCATCCAGCTCCAAGACACCCCAACTCTCTACCGGGGTCCTGGTCCTCAGGACTCCACGCTGGACATCTGCCCTCAAAATCCCCCAAATCTCAGCTCTGAGTCTCCACCTTCCCACACAGATACATATCCCCTGGATCCCAGGATCTAGAGTCCTCACGACCTGCCAGTCTTCAGTCTCACCCCCCTGGACTTCCAGAATCTCTGCCCTGAAACCCCCCTCCCCCCACATACCCACCTGGATAGCCACACACACAAACAAGCGCGCGCACGTGCGCGCGCTCGGGCACCCCCACCAACCTGGATCCTGGTCCTCATGACCCTACCACGCACACATTGTTGGCTCATCCCCTGGTCAGTCAGCATCCCAGCCCCGGGACTCCGGGGCCCCGAGACTCCCTCCCCCGCCGCGCACACACACGCGCACACGCACACCCAGGACCCTCCCAGGACCCTCGTAGTGGATACCTGGAGTCGGTCTGTGACGCGATGTCCTGCGAAGACGGTACCAAAGCCCCCCTTACCAAGGAGAGGGCCAAGTCGGTACTCGGCCTCGAACGCTTCCCGATCCTTGCCTCCTACGCAGGCGGGGGCGAGGAAGTCAGGGTGGCTGCGTGCTGAGCCCGGCTGCGACCCTCTCCTCCCCTCCTCCCGCGCCGCCCTCAATCACTTCAGCCCGCCCGGCCTAGTCGCGGTAGGGGAGCCTCGCTCACCTGGCGGCGGCGTGGGGGTCACCGGGGCCACGGGGAGCCCTTGCAGAGGCTTAGTCAACATGGAGGAGGTGCTGCGCAGATTGAGCCCGCTGAGCCCGCAGGGCGTGGACGCCCGGGGCAGCGAGGCTGGTGAGCCAGGACTTGGGGGCGCCAGGGTGGAAGGCGGAGAAGCTGGTGGCCCAGAAGGGCCCTCAAACAGCGCAACGTTCGGATTCGACGCGCGCGCCAGCCCTAACGCTACTGAGCCGGGGCACGCGCCTCCCGAGAGAGTCGCCCCGGGCGACAGCCCCGCCCACTTGGCTTTGATCAATCCGAACGCGGCACCTGCTGTACCCCAGCCAATCGGAGCCAGTCCTTATTTGCATACCACCCTCAACGTTTCAAGTACCCCCTTATGCAAATACATGCCCGGATCTTCCGCGGGGGCCGGGCCCGCATGCAAATGTGGGGGGGGGGCGCGCGAAGAGGAAACCGGTTCTGGGAATCCCTTTGCAGCGACCGCATTTGTTTTGGTTGTTGCGCGGGGTTGTTTTTATATATATGCGTATGTGTATAGATATAAACTTAAAAAAATAACTGCACCGCCTCCTTTCCTAGGAAGTTGGTTTGCAGCCGCTGCTTCGAGATTAGCGCGGAGATAATGCCAGGCCCGGCTTCTAAGAATGCGAGCCTGTGGCTACCCTGGACCCGGTCTCCGAAGAGTGCTCAACACCCAGGACCAGAGCCCTCAAGGCGACCGGCGGCTTCTCCCCCCAAACTGAAGCCGGGGATCCTGAAAGAATCCGCCCAGCTTCCAGGGAGGGGTAGCCCTCCTGACCACCACCGCGGGGGACGCGCTGGTCAAAGACAACGTTCCCAAGCCCTGAGGCGGAGGCCTATGGTGTGTTTTTAGAGCCCTTAACCTGGCCAGACCTGACTAGGTTTGGCCACGAGCCCAGTCAGCACGTCTAGAATCTGGAATGGCAGGGGGAAGTGGATCTTGGGCGGGGGTGAGGAGCAAGCCAGAGTGATGGTGGCGTGGGGGTATGCTTCCAAATGGCAGAGACGGACGGGGAGAACTCAGACAGGTGGCAAAATATCCTCAGTCACAAATTTGTGAAAAATAAGTACAGTGTCATGATATACACAAAACCCATACTGTCAGACACATTCATGTAAACTTACATGACACAGATGCAGACACGTACTGTCACAGAGACTGACATCCACTGTCAGGCAGGCATGCTGCCAGTTATGTCCCAGAATGACACCCAGAGAAACACTGTTACAGAAAGACAGGCACTCCAGAGAGACTCACATGGACCTACGTTGCCATGTGACAATGACACAAAAATGTCAGACTCACCACCACCAGAACTTGTCATGATACTGGCACCATCAGACACACACTATCACAGGAAGACTTGTACTGCCCCAGAAATGAGAAACCTCGTGGCTGTCACAGGAAGACACACAGATGCTCCAGAGACACACAAGTACTGCTCCAAAGGCAGACATAAATACTTATGCAACAGAGCCACATGGATAGGCAGTGTCACAAAAACAGATGTGGAGAGACCCAGTCAGACACACAACCAGCAAACATGCAGCGTTGTCACTGAAATTGTCCAGAAATAGCTACCTAGAATCTGTCAAAGGAATACAAACGGACATCCACCACATCAGAATGAAACCACAGATGCACTGTCACAGACAGACCCACGCAGACATGCACTTGTCTCAGAAACAGGCATAAACTGTCAGAGACAGAGTCCCACACTCAGTCACCATCTGACACACCTGGAAACAAGCCCTTGTCACACACACTGGAGACACTGTGAGAGGCATGTGAAGACTTGGACTCACCAAAGTCACACACAGACAACACTCAAAAAGCAAATACACACATGTACTCTCCCTTATTCATCCAGTATTTATTAGGGGTCTACCGTAAGCCTGCCAGGCCCTGGCAGGGGTGCAGATATTAAGAGATACACAGATTAAGTCAGGCATCACAGCCCTTGCACAGTTATTGGGGAAGGAGTAAAGACACATTTGTGGATAGCAGTGAGAATGTGGAGTCACACAGGGCTTCTCAGAAGGTGACCTTCTACCCATCTTGAAGGACAAGGTTGGGGGCTCAGGACAGGGGAAGGGCAAATTCCAGGCAGAGGCCAATGAAACTGGACAGAGCAGCAAGAGGTAGGCAGGGGCCAAATGGTGCAGAAACTTCAGTATTAGGATAATAAATACTATCTGCTAACATCTGAGCTCTCAGAACGTGCCAGGCACCATGCTATCATACATTATATTGACCACATGCATTCTCTCTCTGTGCTCACAACCAGAGAGTGTGAGGTAGTAGACATTAATCACTCCTGTTGGACACGTGGTAGGACCCTTGAAACTCACAGAACCTGTGATTTGACCAAGGCCACACATCTAGAAAAAGCCAGGTAGGTTTCAAACCAACTCTCCAACATCTGCATGCATGACCAGTGAATTCCACAGACACCCCACAGGTGGCCACCTGGCCAGCCATGCCCTCACCGGCAGACCTGGACATGCACCCTTCCACATGGGCCCCATTAGTGAGGCACAGCAAACAAACAAACAAACCCCATTCTTGACAAAACATGGGGACCAGCCATCCTTCTCTGCCTTGACTTTACCCCAAGGAAAGGCAGACAGGGGTGTTAGAAGACTGGGGACATCAATAAGAAAGGACTTAACCATTCCTTAAACCCAGGAGGCCCACCAGTCAATTCCACTAAACTTACGTTGATATGAGGCCTCTGTTGTGCCTTTCCAAAGCATTCCTCATCAAAGATCACAAGGAAAGAGCAAATGTATGCAGGCAAGGAGGCAGGCAGAGAAATTGGAAGTTCAGTACCAGCCCTCAAGCTCATAGTCCTCTGCTCCCATCATACCCCAGGACGCAAGGTGGGCAGGCTACACGTGCCAGTATTGAGGCAGGGGCAGCAGGCAAAGATGGAACTTTCTTGTTAGGAACAGGTCCAGAAGTTGGTTTAGTGAGCAGTGAATCAAATATGAGCAAACCCCGGGCCCGGGTAAATACCGTACTGGAGAGCATGCAGCCCTCAGAGGTCAAGCCAAGGCCTATGCCATCACCGCCTCTGCCCAAAGCCCCACCCATCCCATGCCCCACACAGAACAGAGGCGCTCAGGGGAAACTGACATTTGGTTTTATTGTGCCAAGGACATTACAGATGGTGGATCTTGTCAACACCTGCAGGGCACAGGTGCCTCATCTGTTGAGGCTGCTCCCACTCCCCACTCAAATCCTGGGCAGGCAGTGGCTGCCATGATCCTCAAAGGTGCCTCCCACCCCAAGATTCCAAAGAGACCAGTGGTGGTGGTGGTAGTGGTGGTGGTGGTGTGGAAGCAATAGGAATGCAGCGAGGTCAGAGTCTCAGTGTCCAAAGCCCATATGACACCTGCCCCCCTGCCCCCCACCCTGCCCCGGCTTGCACTCTAGACACTGCCCACCTCCACAGAGCTGGAGGCTAGAGACAGCAACCACATCTTTGTGCTCCCTCTGTGGCCCATGGCCTGCCTGCTCCCAAACCAGAGATGCCGCCTTCACAGAGCCAATGCTGTTGTCTACATCATTTTGGATTGATTGATTTTATAAGATAAAAGTACATTTTAATAAAGAAAAAATTCAACATTGAAGGCTCAGACATTCTTGGGGTACTGGGAAGGGGAATTCCCACTTCTTCCTCGCACCTTCCCAGCATCATTGTGGAGGTGGGGGTAACAAGTTTTTCTGAAGTTGGAAGAAACAGGGCAGGGAGTGAGGGGGGCAGGGAGACTTTCCTCTGTCTGAATGTTTCTCCTCGGGGACTGCCTGGCTGCCAGTTGGTTTGTCCCTGTGTGCCTCTCGCCTATGTTCGGCACCCTTGCCCAAGTCCCCTGTGGAGTGCAGGGATGGTGCTGTGCAGGGGGCAACAGGGCACGTCAGCTGGCGAAGAGACGGGTGATGGTGGTGGTGGCAGCGATGAAAGGGGGTGCAGTGGTGGGTCAGCCAGAGGGAAGTGGGGAAGAGGGAAACGAAAGGAGTGAGGGAAGAAGGCAAAAGGGAAGAAAGCCAAAGAAGGTGGGTCGGCACCGGAGGGCAGGAGTGGTGGGGGTTGGGAGATGGTCTCCAGTCTCTGGGTCTCCATCAACTCTTGTCTGGGGGTGGATCTCTGTGCACTTTGTTTTTCTTCATACTGTCTAGGTATTCCTGTTGGGACACTGCCAGCACCGATGCTAGGATCTCATCATCATCCCAGTCATTCAGACCTGCTGGGCCAAGAGGAAGGGGAAAAGGATGATGGAATACTTCCAGCCCTCCTTCTCTTCACCCTTTGCTGATCCCTGGCTCTAGAGAGATCCTATCCAGGCCCCTCTACATTTCTATGGAGAAGGCTCCTCTGGGCCTATGGAATCCCATTCAGATCCCCCCTGGACACATCCCTTGGGTTTGAAAAATTCCCTTTTCTTGGGTAGATGGCCAGAGGTCTGGAAGGCCCCCCTCATGGGGTCTGTTGGTTCTTCTCTCTCCCCAATTCCCAGCTGGCCTCTGGGCCCCTAGACAGAGGAGGCTTACCAAACGCAGAGGGGGACATCTGCTGAATGAGGGCCCGGCACTCCAGAGCAGGGTAGAGGGACACGAGGGGGGGAGTAGCCCGGTCAGCCCCTGCCGAGAACTGGCTGCTTGTACCTGGGGCAGAGGGATAGTCAGAGGCAGGGCCCAGGACCTAGGCAGCACCTCCTAACCCCGGCATGCTTCCCTGTCATCAACTCACTGACCTGGTGCACAGGGTGAAGGAGGTTTGGCAAGAGCTAAGACAGTGCCTGGGGAAGGGGGCTTGATGCCCAACTCGGTGTGCAGCTCAGGGTGCTCGGGTGAAGAGGCTGAACTCCGCTGCCGCGGGGACCTATTGGTCCACTCCTCTAGGCCACTGGAGGCTGCTGCTGTGGCAGAACTGCATGTGGCGCTGGCTTTCCGGGGCTGCAGTGGGAAGGAGGAGGAGGAGGGAAGGACCAACGCCAGTCATGACCCTCCTATGCCCCATCCCTAAGGGCTGGCTCCCTCCCGGAATCCTGGCTATGATACAGTTTCTACATAGGCCACCATCATTCCTGGGCACACAGCAGACCACAGGACAAAGGTAAGCTCCTTAATCCTTCCTCACACCCTTACAGCCAATTTGACAGGGAACCTATACTTCCACCTTCAAAATCCATTCAGACTCCATCCCCTTTTCTCCTTCCTTCCTAGCCAGCTCTGCCATCAGTTACCACTGGGACTATTCTAGTAGCCTCTGCCTCACAGGCTCCTGCTTCTACCCCTGCCCCCTAGATTCCATGTTGCACTCAGCAATCAGGGGGATCCTGTCCCTCCTCTGCTCACAACCCTCCAAATGGCTTCTGCCTCACTCACAGTAAAAGCCAAAGTCCTCACCACAGCCCACAAGCCCCTTCTCAATCTGGCCCCACCACCCCTGACTTCATTTACTACTACATTCTGCTCAGCCACACTGGCCTCCTGACCACACCCAAATCACACCAGGTGTGCCCTACCTCAGGGCCTTTGCTGGCCTTCTGCCTTGCCTGGCACATGCACTTAGCTAACTGCTTCACCTTCTGCAAGCTTTTGCTCACATCTCACCTGCTCTCAGGCCTACCCTGACCACGTTATTTAATACTGTGACCTCTCAGCGCCCTTAGCCCTACTCATTCCCTTTACCCTGCTCTACATGTTTCATCTGTCCCACCTCTCAACTAGTGTACTCATTATGTTTACTGTTTATTTTGTTCCACTCTGCAAAAATGTAAGCATCACAAGCACAGGGATCTGGGCCTGCCTGGCTCACCAATGTACCCCCGTACACTGAGAACAATGCCTGGCACAGACCTGCGATCAATATTTGTTAAGTAAATGACTCGACTCTTTCCAGCATCTACAGTCACTCTAAACTCCTTGTGATTCCTCAAATGCCTGCCTGCTCTGCCTCCTCTCTGCCCTAAACATTCAACCTTCCTGTGTGAAGACTGATCAGAGCCCCCACAACTACTGGTCTCCTAGACAGGGTCAAGGGCTTCACTGATGTATGTCTCCCTCAGTAGACAGGGGATCTCTGAGAGTGGAGCAGGCCAGACCTGATTTTACATCCTCAGCACAGAGCCTGATGCACAAGGACCTTCAACAAAAGCCTGTCCTTCTGGAACTACCCATCAATCCCACGTGTCACCACTAGTGGCTGGCCTCCCTCACTCTTTTAGAGAGCTTGTTCTGCAAAGGTGTTGAGAGTTCTAAGGCACAATGCCAAGACTCAGGCCAAGATGAGGTACAGAATGGGCTGGGAGCTTCCTTTTCTCCCAGATGTCAAAACTGCTTAATTTTTTTCTGCCAGTATGGGGGCAGAGCATGGGAAGTAAGGGGTTCTTGGCCAGGCCAGTGACAGAGCCCAGGACACACCTGGCTGGGGCCGCGGACCTGGCGGGCCTGTTTCTCTTGATCCCGTAGCCACTGCAGGTAGGATTCCCGAGCCACCTGCTCCTCAATGGCCTCGTTTGTGGCCTCCCAGTCTGTGGCCCGCTTCTTGTCTTCCAGCATCTGCTGTTCAATCCATGACTCCTCTGATGTTTTTATGGCATTCTTCATCAGGGACTGCTCTGCAAACTGCAAGGCACGGAGGACAGGGATGTAGGGTGACACTCTGAACTCCAGCCAAGAGACAGAACTGGCTCAGGATGATGAGTCTGTAGGCTCAGAAGACAGGGGATAGGAAGGCAGGTACTCCTACTAAGCACCCCCCTGAGCAGGCTGTCTATTCATCAGGTATCGGGGGAAGGCAGGCTGGGGTAGTGGGATTTGTCACTCCAAACTCCTACACTCAGAAGCCCTGCTCCCAACCCCAAGACACTTTGACTGAAGTACTATGTCTGGGGCAGCCAGGTACTGGAATTTAAAGACACCTTACCCAGAGATGACTCAGTTTCATAATGCTGAGGCCTTCCTCACCTATGCCCACATGGGACAAGGAGAAAAGATCACCTGACCTGAAAAGTTAGCTGTGTGTAGGGCGAAGGGAGTATTTGGACATTTAAGGGGACAAGAGGACAGTACTGTCATGGTATAGGGTATTATGAGTTGTGGGACACCGTAGGAAAGTGCTTTTCGTCAGGCTATGAGATATGAAATAATGAGAAATATCAGAGCATATTCCAGGCATTAAGTGTAATTATTGCTCAACAAAATTCTAACATTATTTTAATGCAGATATACACACTACACACCAATGTGTGTGTGCACTAAGTTATGATGTAAAGCGTAGTTTTTTACCCATGTGTAATAGTCCAAAAAGTATGTAAAATTGTTAGAACAAGTCAATTAAAAAGTGGGCAAAAAAAGTCTAAATACACAACCTCCTCAAAGAAGATATACAGATGGCAAATAAGCACATGAAAAGATGCTCAACACCATTTGTCATCAGGGAATTGCAAATTAAAACAATGAGGTACCTTATCTGTTGGAGGTATCAGTAAGAACTGCAGCTTCATACAGATACAGATGGTTACATAAAAAAATATTTCTAGATAAGAGTATACATAGAAATATTTCTAGGTAAGTGTATACATATGGGTTAGTATACACAGATATATTTCCTTGCTCTGTCAGCTGAAGGAGCCTAGAAGCAAGGACACCCCAGTAACAAGGAGCATACTCAGCATCCAGATTTTGATTTTTCTTTTTT